TCCCCTACCCACAAGTATATGAAGTACCTTCAGACTCAGATACCTGACCTATAAAATAGCTAATTTTCAGCTGCTCATTTAAAGTCCAAATAACATCAATCCATTCTAGATGTCTTCATTGTTTATAGAATAAGCTTGCATTTCCTCTAAAACCAGGGCATCTGTGAAAGTTAAACACAGCTTGGTTGTATTATTTTAGGATAGGGAATTCACATCGAGCTTGGCTGCAGTGGTCTTTTAACTTGCATTTCCAGTTAGTCCTAGTATACACATATTTATGAGCTGCACCAAAAGAAGCATCACCATATGCTTTCTTTCCACACCCTGGAAAGAAAGAAAATTACATGACTTGGCTAACACAGCCAGGGAGACACCTTGTTTGTCCCTACCAAAATGTACAAGGCACAGACTTGTACTGTGTTCCCCCAAAAGGCTGAGATAGTGTTATATCATCTCCTCCTAATAAACACTACTCATTTGAGTAAGTTCTGAATCTGAAAGTAAGCTCACCAGCATAATGTAGTTGGTATTTTTAAATCTGAATATTTATCTGCATTGATCTGATGTTTTACTGAGAGAAGAAACATACATAACAGCTGAGAAACTGAATAATATGATTTCCCTTAGATTACATAGTATTGAAATATGGACCCACATTTTTCTAGTGGTCCTAAGAGGGCTTATGTATTCAATGTATATTTCAAAGCATTGATTTGTCAGAATGGTCAGATGCAAATACTTTCATGTATGTCCTAAACCAGTGTAACTATTGCCGGAGGTCTGTGGAAAGGGCTGAATCCAAAGCAGAATGAGCGAGTGCCCAGAGTTGGATCTGTGCAGTGTGATGCTGAGATAGGTCCAAAAGCTGACCAGAAGTGAAAACACAAATTCTTTCCAGGAAACAATATGTATTCCTTTAAGCCTGTCTCTCTTCTTCTTAGACTTAACTGAGGTAGGGGGTAAAATCACTGTAATGGCTCCCCACATTATAGAATGTTTCTAACCCAGCTATAAGTGCCTTAACAAGTACTGGTTGATTTGGATGGACAGTAAGACCTAGACCTTGGTGATGGGCATTATTAGGTATTATTGGCATGTTCAGCAGCCCAGTCTCTTGTGCACATACAACAGTGAGTGGCAGAGCCTGGGGCTGCAGGACACGTGGTAGCCCCTGACTGGTGGTCAACCTGCCTTCCCATGGCACAGGAGAGGTGTCCAGGCAGGAGGCAAAGTGAAACCACCTGGCTCAGGAGCTGCCTCCTCTTTACGTGCTTTTACATGCCAGGATGAGTCTGTCTGCTTGGCTGCAGTCACTTGCAGTGATGGGAGGAAAATCCTGAGGTAAAGTGGTTGTGATAAGGGGCTGGTCTGAGCTGTGTGGGCTTTGGCACAACCCAAACCCCCCCATGTTACATATGCTGCTGCCTAAGGCACAATTTACTTAGATGACTGTGCCTGTGTTCCCAGAAGCTGCTGGTCTTGAGCAGCTTGCCAGCATCTTGCTGACTTTTTGCCCTGTTACAGAAGCTCTGTTTTGGCCAGCTAGGCTAAACCCAACCTGAGCTGAAAGCAGCTTCTTCAATTTGTATTTTCAATCTACTACCAGGAAAAAAGAGAACGCAAAAGAACAGTGACAGGAGACAGCTAGCTTCTTTCTTCTTCCTCACAAAATTTTCTGCATGCTCACTTTTTTGGTAAGATATCAATAAAATAACATTTCTCCCCCCCACCCCAGACCTTGGGTATCTCCCAAGGTCTCAGTCTGCAAGACACTCGAGGTCTATTTCTCTCAAAGATCAGGTCAACTTCTATCTGGAAAGACACCTTGAAACAGGGACCTGACAAAAATGAGGGTTTAAATGCCTGCCCATGTCAGTTGCTATGCCAAAAGCTAGAGATGTGATCAGAAAGAATTTTATTAAACTGACAAACGCATTTACAGAAGTAACAGGCTTCAAGATTAGATGAACCCAGACTGGTCCCTTGTGTTCTGCTTTACCTCAAAGTGAAATATTTCATTGGGTAACTGTTCCCTAAGCCCCTGGTGACTCTCAGATTTCGGTCCTGAACTTCCTCCAGGCTTCTGCAGGAGAAAAGCTGGAACAGATTCTTCAGCGTTAAACTTCTCATGATTTTAAATGAACCACATCAAACTGTTTCTATGTTTTACAACAGTCTCTGGTAATTTCCATTATTTATGAACACATTTCCCTGAAAACTTTCTCTCCAGGGATAGGATGTGAAATGTCCACTTAAACAATAGAGAAGAGGGACTTTCTAAACAAAATAATGAAACTGGCAATACACCAAGAACTCTACATTAATACAACTGAACAAAAAATACTTCTGAAGTGCTTTAAAGGTCATTTACTCTGTTGTTATTATGTAGGTAATGTATTTTTCAGACATTTTTCTTTTCTTCTAAGGCACTGAGCTCTTTTTATTGTAAAATAGTGTTTTCACATATGATTTTCACAAATAATAATCTAGAGGCATTTTTCCAAAATTTTCTTTTCTATTTTTTTTCTTTAAAAAGCAGATAATATATTCGGCTTGTTTTGTTATAGACAATGAAAATAAACTCATTTCGTTTGAAAAAGGTGCAGAGTACTCACAGGCTTCATAAACCCAGGCAGCTTTACCAGAAGGTATCTCCAGCCAAGCAACTGTAGAAATGAAGCGCTAATAAACTCTTTGTAACTATTCTATTAATTTATATGGCTGTTAAAATTATGCTTTCCGGGGTGACTTCAGAAAAGAGTGAATCTGAAAGTGCCTATTTAATGCTGATAATAATTCCAGGTCAAGTTTCATTCTTGTTTGTATTTGAGAAAACGAAATTAAATACAAAATATTAAAGCCATTTTGCATTTGCAGTAAAAGTACCATCCCCAAACTACCCTTTTTCCTCAAAGAACCAGCTTGGCAGATAACTGTATATCTACTAAAGAATCCAAGTATGACAGGGAGCACTTTTGGTTTCGGAAGTAACCACTTTAATTTCCTCATTCCTCAAAGATTTTTATGCACGTGTTTACTCATGTGAGCCTTACCATGGGCTCATACAGGAAAAAAACTTATCTTGTTCAGCAGAATACCCCTCACTATTAAAAATTAGAGGTTTTAATTGCTAAAGTCATCACAATGACTCATGTTTTAAATGCAGATCTACGCTTAATGATTTTGCTAATTGTGGGACAAATTGCCTAATGCTTTGCAGGATTGAGCTTATGTTACAAAAAGTATAAGTTACGTGAGGTTTTTGTCAGATAAGAGTTGGTGTATTTTGTCTGGTCCAAGTCTGCATTTGCTCAGTAAAGTTACATATAAACTGCATAGACAACGAGGTATTGTTGTTTTTTGAGCCAAAAATACATACATATTGTTAAATTTAGAACTTAGAAGTGGAAGGGTGTAACAGCAAATGCATGTGATCAGTCTGCACACTGTGAGGCAGAAATGCTGTTTAACCTGTGGAATAAACAGCCCAGGATTTTCAGAAAGCTCTTCTATCAACTGATGAACCTAAAATGAAAGGGATGTGGCAAGCATCAAGTTTGCTCGCTTGGATAGCATGTTCAAAAAACAAAAAATGTTGCAGACCACAAACCCACTAAAGAAGTTTTAACAACAGACCTTGCAAAAATTTGCCAAGTGTTGCAAAAGCTGAAAATGCCAATTTGGTGTATGATAGAAGTATAATCTAATACTGTATACCAGTTTGTAGAGAAACATTTAAACAAAAGGATTCTGCAGGAAGAGAGAAATAAAAGGGTCAGAATTTATCATTAAAATGCAAAGTAAGAAAACTAAAGTAAACACGTTGTTCAGAACACTCACTCTTACTAGAAACTACATTACAGAAAACACCCCCAGCCAAATCATAGCAGACATACATGTATTTTTGAAAGCAAACACAGAAAGCCCTCATGAAATTGCATAGAGATTTAAATTCTGATTAGTTCAGAAATGGAAGCTGGAAGAAGGGTAAAGTTATAACTTCTACCACCCCAGGTTGAAGGAGATCTTTCTAATTTCTTTCAGCTAGAAAGGGAACAGCAGAATTCTGATCCCAAATGCACATGAGGGAGGCCCAGAACAACGACCCGTGGGTCTGTCCAGTGGACCCTGTGGAGTCACTGCAGACCTCTCTGCTGGAGTCAAAATCAGAATTTGGCAGTAAAACATAGAATTTCTGATGACACAGCAAAACTCAACTTCCTTGGGTTTTTTAAAAGCTGTTTCTTAGGAAAAAAAAATAGTAGAGCTATCAGTAATTCATTAGAGGATAGCAAAACATGAGTGAGAAAAAGAGCAAGGACATAAAACTTTATGACCAGAGACTTTTTGCTGACAGCACAGGTAGAGATAGGTAAGGTTGAGCAGGCTGGTCAGAGATAAGAGTGCACACACAGCCCAAGGTGCGAGCCCGTCGCCGCACCGGGAGCCGGTGCCAAATGACTTCGGGAACACAAACATGGGCGCAGATACCGCGGGGAGGGCAGGACGGGGTGTTCCTCTGCCTACAGGCGTCTCGGTGGCCGGGTGTCACCGCAGTGCCCAGCACCGCAGCCCGGAGCAGCTCCAGGGGGGCTCCCGCGGTGTCCCGGGCGGGCGGGCAGGGCTGGGGCGAACGCCTGGCACCGGGGCAGCACACCTCGAGCCCTCCGGCAGCTGGGTTCACAAGGGGGCACGGGAGGGGTGAGGCTGCAGGAGGCATCGCCGCCACCGCCCGGGACACCTTCTGCCCAGCGGCCGCGTTCCAGAGCGGGCTTGGGCGAGCGTGTGCCCCGGGTCGGGGCAGCGCTGCCTTCCCGCGCCGTGCTGGGGGGCAGAGGGAGCAGCTTAGCTTAGTTTAGCTTAGCTCTGCCCGGCTCGGCTCGGCCCGGTCCGGCTCCGCCCGTCGGGGCCGCGCCGCTGACTCAGCCACAAGGGGGGCCGGAGGGCGCCCGCGGGCGTGGCGGGCGGGGGGGCTGCCCTCCGCCCTCCGGGGAGATAAAGAGCAGCGGCCGGAGCCCGCCCACGTCTTTCGGCGCCGCCGGCAGCATGACGGCCATCGGGGCGCAGGTACGTCTGTCTGTCTGTCTGTCCGTCCGCCGCCGGGGCTGCGCATCGCCCCGCCGCGGGGATGGCGGGGCTTCAGCTCGTCACCGCGCGGCCGGGGTCGCTACGGCCCTTCCCGGAGCAGTGGGGACGCAGCCGGCCGGATCCCCCCCACATCCCTCCTTCCCGGGTCCGCGGCTCTCCCTTCCCCTCCCCGCCGCACGTGGCTCTGCGAGCCCCGCCGCCCGTGCGGGGATGGAAGGGGCTTCGGGCGCTTGGCTTGACTTTGCATTAAATCTCGGGCCCCCGTTGGAGAGTTTCAGTGAGGAGGGGGCGTGTGTTGCACACGCGGCTCCGCGGCGGCTGCAGCCGGAGACCCTCGCAAGCCCCGGGGCAGCTGAGCCTTTCTCCCCCCCCCCGGGGTGAGAAGAGACTCGCTCGCTGCAGCCCAGGAGGACAGTGCTCGGAACTGAGAACACCTCCGTCCCGCTGCTGCTGCCTCCCCCGTCCCAGCCACCGGCCTCCATCCTCTTAGGGACCAGTGATTTCCTCCAGCCCTAGAGCAGGAGGCTGTGCCGTGGGACCGCGGGGCAGGGATCTTGCTCAGGCCAGAGCCTTTGTGATCCTGGTCCCGGGCCTTGACGTGGGAGCATTGTTCGTGAAGCCAAGCAACCAGGAGAGCTTCACCCACCCTTCCTTTCTGCTGGGTACAGCCCGTAACTGCATTGCTTTCCCTTGTGAGAAGAGGTTTGATGTGCACAAGTAAATATTTTCAGATACTGAATCCTGCAGCTTTTGTCCCTCTGCCTTTGTTTCACCCTGAAGTAGCACTGTTAACTCTGTTTTGTTTCTTCCCCCCACTCTCCTTTCAGGCGCAGCAGCTGCTGGCGCACCGGAGACCACAGAAATCCTTCTTTGAGACACTCATCAGGAGTCTGATCATCCTGTGCGTAGCAATAGCAGTGGTCTTGTCATCCATCTCCATCTGTGATGGCCGCTGGCTCTTTGCAAGGGGGCAGCTCTTTGGACTGTGGCACTTCTGCACGGTTGGCAATGACAGCGTCCTGAAGTGTGTCACTGACCTCAGCCTGGCCCAGGTGGAGGGGCTGAGTGTGGGGGTGATTCCCATAAGAAGCATGGTGTCCTTTGCTGTTGTGGTTGCCATATTTGGCCTAGAGCTGCTGATGGTGTCCCAAGTCTGTGATGATGCCAATGCGAGGCGAAAGTGGGCAATGGGCTCAGTTTTCATCCTTGTCTCTTTTTTGCTGTCAGCCACTGGTGTTCTGAGCTTCTCCATCCTTGTGAAGGATCACCTCACCTTCACAGGCTTCACGCTGACATACTGGTGCGAGTTCATTGCTGCCTTCCTCTTCTTCCTCAACGGGATCAGCGGACTTCACATCAACAGCCTCACACACCTCAGGAACGGGGTAGGCAAAATCTAGATGCGAAGGAGGTACCTCTGCCTTTGTGTAAGCAGCTTTGCCAATTAGACTGTAAAAAAGAGAGTCTAATGAAGTTTGAAAAGGATACCCTGTCTTAATTTGTGTACAAGGAGGGAAAGTATGAGTCAGTCTTGGCACCTGTGGAAGACCTACCCAGCTGCTGCGCAACACCAGCAAAGCAGAGACTGGGACTGGCTGCCATTGTGATGTGGTTTTCTGGAGAAGTGGATTAAAGCCAAGGGCATCCTGTTAAACATGCAGAGATGTGGAAGACTGATCTATCACACGTGTGCTGTTCTGAGGCTTACACAACACCCGTACTGCTCTGGGTTTGGCGTTGCTGTGCTTTTCTTCATGTTTTGAAGCCTGTGAAGAGTGTGACACAACTGTAGTGTTTTTCATGGGTTTGTTCTGTCATCTGGGACAGAGGATTTATGCCTGGCCATGATCACTAGCATGAAGTATTGGAATTCTTCACTGGATCTAGCTCCTCCATTTTTCTTTCAAAAGAGAAGGCACACAGACCTTGATATAGTCATATGTTTTGGGTTTTGTTGGAGTGTTCCTTGTATCTGTCCCTTTCTCAGTCAGTTTTTGGGGTCCACTTCAAACAGAGGTGCTGACTTGGGGTTAGGGGAAGGCACTGGGTGATGCAGGGGTACAGGGAAGGGTTGTGATGCTTTCCTCAGGCAGCAGTGCATGTTCCTGTGCTTGTGGCCTCTCCCCACTGTCATCACTCTTCTGCCACACCTAAAGGACACGTGCCAATTGGTCACCCAAACTGGCTCCATCACAGCCCTTGCAAAGTTCATGGTAACAGGGCAATGCTCTTGATTTCTTTTTTTACCTCTCTGGAGCAAGAGGAACAAGCTCTGCAGGGGCTTCCTGTGGCACTGTGGCTGGGCAGACCATGCTGAGACCACCATACCTTCTGGGGCGTGTTTTGGTTGTCAGGGTGTCCACTGGGGCAGTGGGAAATCTGCTTATCCTGTAGCTGAGAGTCTCCGGTAGCATTTCTTATGGGAGGAGAAAGCTCTAAATCTTCCAGACCAGACCAAGTCCTTTTCTTCCCCTGACTAACAGCCTGGGAGGAGAAGAGCCCATGATTGCCTAAGGAGGGGCTAATGGGTGCAGCTCTAATCTGTCGCAGCTGGTGGAAATACAGAGAGACCTGGCCAAAATCATATTAAGGCTGGTCTTCCTCCTGCCAATGTCTGAGTCAAGATCTCTATAATTGCTACAGCTTTGAAGTTGCCCATGGTGTCTTATGCAATAGGAGAGAAGACCTCAGAGGTTGGTTGCTCCATGTGTCCTCCCTGTCCACCATACAACATTTGGATGCCCACGGATATAAATGTCTTCAGAGTATTTCAGGGTTTCTGGTTTACTGTTTATCTTGTATCCACTGGCAAAGCTGCTTGTATTTTTGTTTTAGAACAAATGTTTCTATGTGTTCATCCCTATAGCTTTTGTGATAGCTATTGAGCAAGGCTTTAATTTCCCGTGCAACAAGTTTGACACAGTTTTTTACCTGAAACAAAAGCATCGTAGCACAGAGGCCAAGAAGGCTGTGTAGGTGAGCCATGAGTAAACAGCTTTGTCTTTGAAAGCTCAGAGTCTTAAGCTGTGCCTGAGCTGAATGTACCACACTTGATGAATGTGCTTCTGTGGACTCTCTTGCCTTCATGAGGACAGCATCCGTTCCTTTTTGGATTTCTGTAACTTAAGACAACACTCCTAAGCCTGTTTTGTAATGCAGTTTCAGACCTGGCTTGCTCTGGACAGTGCCAGTTCTACTTCTGTATGTGAATCTACTTGTCTTTCTGTCAGGAATTACTCAGAGAGCTCCTGAAGCTCTTGTAATGTTTGGGGCTTTGTTGGGGTTTCTTGACCCTCTGTGCCTTTACCTGCCTCTGGAAAATTGCACTGTGACTGTGTTTGTGAAGTTGCATTTGATTTGCTGAACTGCACTGTCGAAGACATGCTGGTGGGCTGAACATGCAGATGCTTGCATAAAGTAGCGCTGTTGGCTTTAGCAGAGCCACTTAGGCCAGAGAGATCCTGCAAGGTCTGGTCCCAAGGTGTTGGCACTTCAGTGTTAGCAGATGTTAAGAGTACCTTAACTAACCAGTGATTCAGTTGTGTTGCCTATGGGCCCTCAGGCCAGGCAGGACAGTTCCCCTGCACGAGGTTAAGGGTGTCCATGGCTTGTCTAGAAACATGGATGTAACTTCAGAGTGCCACTTTGGTGACATCCAAAACTGGAAATCAGCTCTACATGTACATTCCTTTGTGCTAGTGGGAGGCTGTGCCCCCATCCCTTTCCCTGGAAGGCAGCCATAGCCAGACTGAGTTCCAGGCTGGTGCCTCCCGTTTGGGTTGGAGGGAGGCAGTGGACAATTGGCCATTGAGTTCATCCTAGATGTGGTGCAATTGTGAATGATTTTAGGATGCTCTCTACTAGCTGAAGAAGAGGCCTTTTGTATGCTTTTTTTCCAACTGGTTTTGTGTAGTACTGCTTAACTTAATTATGCTGGGAGAAGAAGCATTTTGACAGCTAAATATTACAAAACAAGGTTGATTGTCTTGGAGACATCCTTATATACAGCAACCTGTGCAGCAGCATGTCACTGTTCATTTTCTGAAGGCTGTGGAAGTTCCAAGAAATATTCCTAAAGTTTCTTGAATAAATTTTATTTGAAATAAGAACTGTAATTCTCTCTTTTGATGTTTAGATATTGGGGTGCAGATTTAAGGAGATGATTGGAGTTTTACATAATCTCCCAGGCACTGGTCTGTTTTTGTGTACGCAGCTAGACTGATGAAGAAATGACTACCTGGCACTTTGCCAAGCTCTGACCAAGGGAACTGAGGCCACTGCACGCTCCCCTCTCCTTTTCCCTCCAGTGTGTCTGCACCAACCCAAGCAGCCAGCATTGCTTTCGCGTCTTGCAAAACAAGAGGAGCAGTCAGCTGTGCTGCTTCGTGGGAACTGGAGATAACCTTCTAGGCTCTTAATGATTTCCTGCTGTTGCATGTGCTCTGTTTACCAGCTAAAGAGCTCTTTCCTGTGTCCTTCACCTTCCTTTTCCCACACTGCACCCCATGTCTGAAGCATCTTTTCCCCAGCTCCGATTATTTGGCGTGCAGAAGTGATATCTGAGTACAAATATATTTATGCGTTTTTCTCTGAGCTCATTGTACTGACAGGTTTAGTAAACGTCAGGAAAACAGATTCCCAGCTATGCCACTGAATTAGTTTATATAATCTCAAGTTAATTAGCACCTGGTGTTCTCTTTCCAACAGGAGAGGTCATTGGCCTGTCTCAGACAGTTTAATATCTCTTAAAAGCAAGTAATGAACATCACTTTTTGTTAATGAGTCATTTAGGCTTAGTTACTAACTTTAATTGGAACCTTGTGCACAAGCTTGTGGATAAGAAAAAGGAAATAACAGTACAGGGTGTGCTAGCTCGGGAGGTGTCCTGCCTGCACTGTATTTTCATAGAATCACAGAACGGTTAAGGTTGGAAGGGACCACTTGGAGGTCATCTAGTCCAGTCTCTGTGCTCAAGCAAGGTTCCCTAGAGCATGTTATTTTGATTTAAGTTTACAGTACCTTCTTCAGCTGTGGTTGGAGGGACACCTGGAATGGGGTTGAGCCTTGCTTGCTTTTGCAAGTCAAGGGAACATGCTCAGAGGAAGATTACTGTCCTCAGCTGCCTTCTCTTTCCCTCTGCTGAAGCCTATTGTAAGCAGATAATGGCCCTTCTCAGCCTTCCAGGTCAGCTTGCAGATGCAAGAAGGGCCTCATTTCTGAGTGAAAACAAGGCCTGCCCCAGGCAGTGTCCTGGAAGGGGTGTTGCCTGAATTCCTGGGACCTCAGCTTCACTTGTATTCACCCCATCTGAAACAGTCCATTTCAGCTCCCCTGTACTGAAGCATTGCACAACGTAATTATTCACGGCACAACTACTGTTTTTTGCTTCTGATAGTTTTGCTGGGGATTTCCTTGTTGCCATGTTTGGAGAGAAAATACATTAATCACTTTTTCTTAAATTCATTAGCTCTTAGTCTGCTGATGCTCAGGCTGCTGGAGTTGCTGCCTGCCCTGCTGGCTTGCAGAGGGACAACTGGCTCCTCAGGGGACCTGGAATAGATAGCCAGAGGCTGTCACTGCTGTCCCTGAACAATGACAACGACTTGAGTGAAAGGTGGTACTCAGGCCCTATTTACTGCTAAAACCCACCTGCTTTACATTGAATACTCAAGAGCAAGTGTAATGAATGAAAGGGAAGCTGGTGAACTCTGAATATGTTGTTTGTGTTCAGCCTGTGTGCCTCTACCTCCTGCTTTTTGCACTGCTTGCTGAGATTTATTTTCCTGTTCCTTTTCATCTGCTTATAAACATGTCAGTGTTCCCAGAGCTACTAGCTCTTTTCTCTGGTATCCTTCAGCATAGTTAAATAAGCAAGATCCTCAGCAGGGCAGGGAGCTTTTGCACTGCCTGCAGGAGATGGGGGGGAAGGTGAGAACCCAGTCCACTGTGGTGGTATTTGGCAGCAGTTTCCAAGGCCCAGGTGGAACCAGGACAAGGTCACAGCATCATAACTCCTAATGCTGCCTGCTTCTGGCTCCTTCCTGAGTGGACATGCTCTTTCCAAAGAGCTGAGGACTCTGAATGCCAGCTGACATCCGAGAGTTTTTGTGGAAGCTCAGCTCTTCACACAAACCAGGCCTGTCCTCAATGCCTGAAGCAAAACGTGTAATACAGAATCTGGGAATAATTCCTCTTTTTTTTTTTTTTTTTTTGTTATTTCAGGCAAGACAAATAAAACCAAAATGGCCATGTAAAACAATAGCTTATGCTAGAACTTTTTCTTAAATGCAAAAGACCAGTATTTTATTGTGGGACATGTGGTTTGTTCCTGTTTCACCAGGGTCCTGTACAAATATGTATCAAGCTCAGCCTGGGCTCCCCCCAAACTTGTGCTGGTCCTAACTACATACTGCAGGGCTGAGCTCTTACACTGGCTTGTGGGAGGGCCAATAATTGCATCAGATCTAATTAATTACATGTTATTGAATCTTTGAATCTATATTTCTTCATTTATGCCGGAAGGAGGCACTTGCATTTAAAACAAACAGCTGCTTTAGCTTGATTGATGAATGTTTAATTCTCAGACAGGGAACATACAAGTTGTCTCATTCTTCTTAGTCACATTCATAGGCCAGAGAGAAAATTAGGGTTATATGTTTTCAGAAGTATCTGACTTGCTAAATGCACTGGGACAGAGTGAACCCCCGAGAAGGTTGGAGGCTCTGCTTGGCTTGGTGGGTCAGCAAAAATGAGATCTTTTACTTAAACATTCATGGAGGGGCTTTTACTTCTCCCTTGGTCACAGGACTGATCCTGCTTCGGCTCTTCCTTCCACTTGTTTTGGCTGAGTTTTAAAGGACAAAGTCAACTTGAAAGCTTGCTACTTCGAAAAAAAATTTCCTGAATAATGTCAGTTTCAAACAGTGCTAATAGCACTCAAAAACCTGCTTGTATACAGGTTATTTAACCTTGAATGCATCCTTTGAACTTCTCTGCTTGTTTGCCTTCTGATAAAATGGCAGAAGCCTACCGTGTAGGCATTTGATGTGATTAAAAGCTTGTTAGGGCAGTTTTGGCAGAGGGGGTTGGGAAATGCCGCTCAGGCAGCATTGGACATACCATGAATGTTTTGTCAATGTCTTTAGATGATCGGGAGGAGGGAGAAGTGATAAACACCTATGCTTTCCATTCAATCATCTTTGCCCTTGAAGAAACCCAGCCAAAAATCGCCCCAACTAAGAAACTGCAGATACAAAATCAAGTAGGAGACTTGGTTGCATTTGTTGGACAACTCTTTTATCCTTTTCCCATCTAAACCAGGAAATTTCTTGTTTATGTCCTTTAGAACATAAAGCTGTAATAGCTCCAATACCTTGTGACAGCATATTACAGTGCACAGTCTTGCAGATTTCAGCACACTGGGTGATTGTGGACTCTAAAAGAGATTTTTGGTAGCCAATATGGTATTTTTTTTCACCAGACAGGTTCTACTGTCCATTTCAATTGAGTTTTAAACATCTCAAGTACTTTCATTTCTTCCCTTCAAAGACAAAATGGACCAGTCTCAGAGGTACAAACACAATAGGAATGAGCTATCTTTCTGAAGTTTTTTTGGCCACTCTTAGAATATGCAATAACAGCTTTTTTACCATTTCAAAATGATGCAAGTATCCAAATTGAACCACTGTTGTTTCCAAGGTCTCCCCTGTTAAAAGAGGCAAAGGAAGAAAGCTTTGAACCTTGATAAATTTTAGGTATGTGTTAATTTTGCATTTGAAACCCATGGGCTGTGTTTAAGTATGACATGTAACCTTTGTCATTTAAAACTGAATGTCCTCTCAGCTTCCACAGCAGAAGTGGAGAACAACTAAAATTCACCAGCCTGGATTAGCCTAGAAGCTGTTGGAGAGCCACATGGAAAATGAAAGGTCACATTTAAGGTGGAAATAGCAGCTGAAAAATACTGATGTGGAAAGAAACACAAATTACTGTGGCCAGAAACTCAAGAAAGAGTTTTGGCCCATTTTGCTTTGCAAAATAACTGTGGTGCTACACAGGATATACATGAACAGATGTGCTTCAAGAACTGTTGACCTACAGCCAAGTCCCGCTTTTGGATATGTATACAAGACTCCCAGCTCAGCCCATGGGACTTAGCCATGTGTATCCGAGCATGGAGGTATCCTCCAGGCATACAGTGTTAAAGCACGCTTGATCTTTGGAGGGTTTCTCTCCTGTGCTCTGGTGGGCTCGACCTCACCATGTGCATCTCTTGAGTCAAGCCGCTTCCTCCGTTACTTGCTGAGGTGCTGAGATGCTGACGCAAGTGTTTGCTTAAATGCCACTGCCTCCATTTTCTCTGAACTTCCAGCTGAACCTGGGTAGAAAGGTCACAAAATACTTAATTCAGCTGGTTTATCTTGGAGGCCTGCACTGCGGAGAGCAGTGTAACAGGAAAAGGAGAGCGGGCTACCTGTGCCAAGGCTTAGGTTTATTTATTTGACCCTCAGTTTAAGGGGTTAGGGTAGGGCCTGTTTCTTGACCCTTCCAGTGATACTGTTGCTGCAGCCACACAGTTTTCTATTTAATTGCAGGTGAAACAGTCCACAGAACCTAGCTGGCCTTAGTAAGTGTTTGGTTTAGATTTTTTCAGAATTTTATTTTAACTTATAAAAACAGGACATTTTGGCACTCTGAGGTAAAATAATAAAAAAAAAAAGGGCAGATTTTATTTTCAAAACAACCTTTTCTGAACCCTGTTAAAGGATTGGTCAGAGTATTTCAAACCCCTCCTTCATTTCAAAGTGACTTTTTCTTCTTAGGCAATGGTTTAGCATTTCAGAGTGCAAGAAGCCTGGGAGTTATCCTGAAACTACAAAGGGAATGGTCCCTCTACCAAAAGCTTTAGCTTAAATGAGAATACTGATAAATTTGGACTGGATGTAGCTCTTGATAGATTCCCTCCCAAGGATTAAGCAAAGAAAACAGCCATGGGATGACAGGTAATAGCACCATACATCAGAAACAGCTGGTTGTCAGTGTGACTGTGCGCAGGATGATGCTCCCACCCTCCATTCCCAGACAGTAAAAATGCTATCTGATTCATGAAAGGGTT